TAGCATATATATAAAAATATTATATATAGATAAATAAATAATAATAATAATACTTGCAATGATAATGGTATTACTGATAAACATAACGAAAATGATATAACAATAATTGATGATGATATTGAGAATGATGACGATAGTGACTATGATGATGACTGATAATGATGTATGGCGATACGATAATGGTGATAAGTATTAGATGATTGATGATGGTTATAATGCTATTGATAACAATGTTGTAATAATATTGAGTTTTATTATTATTTAAAAAATTCTGTAATGATAATAAGATTTTGATGATGGTAGTGGCGATGGTGGTGATGGTGAAGAGCGGGGAGTGATATAGCCTGGGTTCCAGGCCCTAATTTTAGGTTACTCACTCTTTATTGCACTTAGTGTGCGCCATACCTAATTTAATTGGCGTCCCATACTCGATTTCTTTTTCTTATTCCGTCTATCTCCCATAGAGATATAATAAGAATACTAGAGCGCTAACCGCAATGTATTCGATGTTCGAAATACGCAGAGCTGTGTGTGTACCATACAAGATGGCTGCCATATATTCAGCCAATCAAATTTCGCCTGAGCACTATCATTTTCAATGGCGCCCTCAATTTACACAGAAGGTTCAGGACAGCTATGTTTGAAACTCGAGCGTTGCGGTGTTTGGGTGTAATGCACACGATTTTAATTTTCATTCCTTGGTACTTTTTTTTTAATAGGATGCTCCACTTGGCCTCGTTTTGGCTACGACAGTTTAATAATTTGTCATTATCAATACTAATTATCATTAATGAAATAATATTCAGTCAGAGGACTTATTTATGGTAATATGCATACTAAGCCTGAAGGTGGCGCTTTCCTACGGCAGCCATCTTGGATGGTACACACACACAACTCTGCATTGTTCCGCCATCTTGTCAGCACTCTAGTTGTTTAATAGCTCTATGTCTATCTCTAAATTAACTTTCTCGTTGGTGGCGCTGTCCAGAATGAGAAAAATAATAAAAAATAAGAGACTTGTGGCAAGTCTAGGAGTGATACTGATGATTAAGATGATTATTATGGTGAAAACGATGGTTGTGATGATAATGATCTTTGGAAGGATGATAATAATGATGATTATTAGGGCTATATTTACTGCATATAGTTGTAAATATTATCTCACGAACGGTATTTTCATCCTTTTCCCTAGCTGGAATTGTGATTTTTGGCTTAAGTAGCGTGGTCAACGCTGCCCTCAACATCTACACCGTTTACAATTGTACTCCTATTTCGCCAACATCTAACAAAGCTCCTTATCTAGTTCCCGCCAATTCATTGTTCATCGTCTTCGCCTTTGCGCAGATGGCGTACATAATCAACTTCAGTGATGTTTATGTTCAACGTGGTTTTATCATTAGACGGTTTGTATTTTAACATTTTGGCATTGTAATAACAACTCATGCTAACCAGATCTACCTGTTGCTAAACCTCTACTATAATATATTGATCTCCTACGTACACGATACTACATTATATTTTCCTGAAAAGTTTCCAGAGGGCGGCTCCCCCAACAAGGTGGAACCTATGAGGCCTAGTGGACCCGGGCTCCAACTTTTTGGCAGAATATATGGAGATTGTTGTATGATCGGAAAGAAAAGCAAGAAAAAAAAAAGACGAAGAAGGAGGAAAGGGAGGGGATAAATGACAGTGTTTATGATCCAGTCACCGACAGAGTTAAACTTTCTCAAAATTCACATTGGCGAATCTGGGGCCGGGAGGGGTCAGGGGTCCTGACTTCCCCCTCCATTTGGCTAAACAAGTTAACACCATTCATTCAATATATCGTGCCCAGTGCCTTCTTCATCTCTTTCCCAAAACATAACATGTATCTTTACTTCATTTCAATGTTGATATTAACATATCATTGAACGTCCAGTACACCATATGTAAAAATATGGTGTTTGAGGTAACAGCACTGGTTGGTTGTCTCGAATGTTGATATTAAGAGCTATTCAATCTATGCTTGAGCAGCATATATAGCCTACTTATAACGACTCAGCTTGTTGAATGAAAAACAGTGTTGACAGCTTAAAGTCAGTTTTAAAGTTGTTTGACGAACAACTGGGAAAAAGTCAATGAGATACAGATTTTTGAATATTTAAAAACTGGGGGAAAGGTGTAAAATTGAGCCATTATGCCCCTTTTCCCCAGTTTTTAAATATTAAAAAATCTGTATCTCATTCACCGTTCCCCAGTTATCCGTAAAACAACTTTTTTCTGTCTTAGAAAAATCAGTTCTACAACATATTTTTCTTCCGGAGCCTGACTTTCAACAGTGAATTTACACTTTTGACCCAATATGTTGACGAATATCCTTAAATTTTTTTGGTCTACATTGAGTAACAAACACATACGTTATTTTTTTCTGTACAGATTTTGTTGTATGCATGTTATCGTGGTGAACATTAAAGTATGGTTGATGAATGTGCTCGTTGGAGCTGGTGCAGATCTCAAAATGCTTGAAGTTAACTGTTCGATGGGTAATACTACTACTGAATACTTTGTCAAACCTCATAAAGTAGCTTAAATTTCCTTGTTTCTATGAGTTAATTTGGCCATCTTAGCTTATAAAATGTATGATACTTAATTCATATAGGCCTACTATGATTTTAAGCTATGTCTTTTATTATTATTATCATTACTTTTATTATTATTATTATTATTTTAATGAAGAAAAAAATGTATTTATTGACATGTTGTGTGTGTTCAGTAATCATAGTAAAATCGTTCCTTTGCATCGTGGCAGTAACAACAGGAGAGATTTGGTTGACTATTGGGGCAATTGCCGAATTCTGCACAGTCCAATTCTGCTTCACCTCTGCTTCAGTAATTCTGATAATGTGGAACAACGTCGGATGTCAAACTGGATTACCAAGAAGAGATGTCAACAGCCCAGTAGGAATTGGTTATACTTCCTGCAGAGAATCTACACTGGGCCTAATGGCAGGCGGTTTCGTCTGCGTAGTTGTAGTTTTCTCAAAAACATTATCAAGCTCATTGTATGCAGACAAAAAGCAGCAGCTAGTTGATTTGTACTACGGAACTCGTATACCTTTGAATATCATATCAATTTTAACTGTTATGATTCTGTTAAAAACTTTTAGGACGTGTGGTAGAACTCCAATTACAGCAGCAATTACGTCATACAAACTAGACGAATTAGTACAGTTTTTCTGCCTAATACTGTATGCTTTTGGTGGTATGTATTCCGTGATAAGCTTTTACTATTATTATACCCAAAAATCGCTTACAGAATTCGAAGAACGCGTGTTCTATCTGAACATTTCAGAATGTATACTGATTGCGATTAAATTGTTCACACAAACCATGTTTATAGTGAAAGGTCTTCGGGCCAAATCATTTGAGTTACGTGGTCCCTCTATACTGAAACAACTTTTACTATTCCTCACGCTTGTGAATATGTGTTTCTGGTTTATATATTCTATAGAAGTGGGCCCGGGTATATATTATTACACGTACACAAGCGAAAGATTGTTGTTTGGGGACGCAATATGGGGATTTATTTACAAAATATGCGGGCCATTTTCAACAACTTATTATTACCATTCAAGTGCTTGTATTTATGAAATGTGGGTGACCCAGGCAAGAACTACAACTCATACCGACCCGGATTGAGTGACATAACACAAAAATGTCGGTCTTATTCTATGAGCTACCGTACTTACCCTGAACTCTCACATAAGGTAGCCTAGTAAACAACTCGTGATTTCTTGTAGTAATATAGTTATTATTAATATTTATATATTTGAACTACGGTATATTTATAGTGGCTCTTGCAAATAACGGATAGTATACGGAGGCCCATTTACATAATATTACAATATTATTATTATTATCATCATCATCATCTGTATCATCATCATCATCTTCATCATCATCATCATCATCGTCATCATCATCATCATCATCGGGTGGTGGTTGATTTTTATTTATGCTGTAATTGTAAGTTTTACCACAGAAATAAACGTATTTAATATATCAAAAATTGTATGTATAAGCATATACTGTATATATACTGTCTCTTATACACATTGTTGAGGTCCCAGACCTAATTTCTCTTTAAAAAAAATCAATGGATATAATTGAAACTTTGTATAACAGGTTGTCAAGATCTAGTAAAGAAATGATTAAATGTTTGTGACAATCCGGAGGTGTGGATCTGAGGACCATTCAAAGAAAAACGTGCCAGGCCAGATATTTAGAAAACCGATCAATTGATATGGAAGGATGTAAATTAAATGATAATAAATGTTTGGCAATCAAGGAGTTATAAATTTATGCTAAGAACCCAGTTCACCAGAAAAGATCCAAATATACAGTGTTGACATTTAGTACCGGTATCATTTTATTAGGGCCGAAGTACAAAGCGGAATTGCAAACTTGAAATATGTTCCAATGACAACATAGTTGATGTGTTCACCAAACCGGTAACTAAACTTAAAAAACAAATTTAAAACAATTATTATGGGGAACTAAGTGAATCCCTGGTTGAATTGTAAATAAATACTTTATGCAAATGTAATGTACAGCATTTTAAAAGTTTAAATGTAATTATGCTAAGAACATAAAGAGCAAGTGGGGGTGTTAAGATGCGTTTGGATATGCTCTGATTCCTATTTTATTGATATTCCCATATGTTTTACATAAGAGTTAATAGTGAAACTAACAGTTACGAGAGTATAAAGGTGAAGAAAATATTTAATAGTTTAATGGTTTCATTTAGTTTAATTTATTGATGCTAAGATATAGACCCAAGAAGTCTCTACCCTGCATTCTAACATGATGATGATATCTAAATGACTTATCATGAATATTTATTAGGCCTAACTCTTGTATATATGATGTATCAATCAGTATAATAAACACTTATAGACTACGTCTTTAAGTAGTCCGTTATTGTAGATACAATCTGTTTGTCAGTATTCTCTTATTTACTGTATTTTATCAGGGGTGTATCCAGGACTTTTTGTGGGTTCGGTCATGATCATAATTTTTAGACCTTTTCAGTGGGAGACAGGATTGATTACAGCGCAATTAGCTTGAAGCGGATGGCAGGTTCAGTTTCAAGCCGGTTTTCCATTAGGCGAATTTAAAGGTGCGAATCGAAAGCGTTGGTTCATGCGCACGCGCATTCATGTTTCTATCGGAGTTTTCGCTTCAGCGAACTCTTTCTACTTTTTGCGTCCATTCGCGTGAATAAATTCGCCTAGAGGAAAACCGCTTCAGAATTGCTGGAATTGAGATAGATTAGTCTACGTCACGCAATTGGCAAGGTCTTTGGATTCATCAATGCTTTTTCGTTTATGCCATTGCGAAAAGGCCCTAGAAAAAATGCCTTTGGAAAAAATGTGGACCTTTTGGGAGGGTGGGTTGGGGGTCGTATCCTTCCCGACCTCCTCCCCTTGCATACACTCATGTTTATGTGTCGTAATTATGGCTACTCCACCTACTACTACACAAATTATAACAAATTACCATTTTTAGGATCTATGCAAAAGAATACAGGAAAGGTATCATTTAACTTTCAGTTAATACTGTTCAAAATTGGCAATTTACGGCGGTACAATTATGAACTTTGGGTTTATCAATTATTATAGAGGGCGCTCTCTTAATAAACAAATTGCATGATGAGAGACGTCCGTACGCGATTTTTTTTTCCGTACGAAACATTTGCATGAAACTTCACTCGTTCCATCTCGGATTGACTCGAGTGAGTACGATACGAGGAACAAGAGCAGACACTTCGCAATGTCGTGACGCTCGAGTTGTACTATTATTGCTCTTTCTATGTTTACCTGCGGTAGGCCTATAAAATTTCACGGACTTATGTGATGTACGTCACTGTGTAACTAACTGTGACCTTCTTGGATGTTATTAAATGTTAGTATATTATCTACAACAACAATAGCTAGTACCTCCTGTTATACAGTGTAGATAGGTACAGTTATACCAAAGGCTAGAGAGAAAGAGGATAAACTATAGGCCTAACTACAGGCTGAGGTCTTACCTAGGCCCCTCCTTAAACTAGGCCTAGATGGGACAGAATTGAAGCATGAAATGAAAAATAGAGCGCATAAGAGAAATATTATTAAATAAATAATATACCATTCCGGCGTTATTGAACTTGTCCAAACTATCATTGTAATGTAATTAATGCTAAATAATAATAATAATAATTAAAAAATAAATAAAAATAAAATAAAATAAATAATAATAATAATAATAATTTCAGCATTAATTACCTTTGGCCTAAGCCTAGTAATGAAGAACCTACAGATACTGTACTATTTACTAGGCCTATAAATAATCGCCCAAGGGGAATATCTTTTGTGTTATTTCCCCTTAACGTCGTTTTTTTAATTGTTCTCTAATTCCTCCATTGTCTAAGTTCCCCTTAAAGTACAGGTAATAATAATAATTAATAATAATAATAAT